TGCACACATAAACACACAAAAGCATCTATACTTCCAGATACACATGCTTGCACATGCTCCTGTAGAAACATGAACACATACACTTACAGGTACAAACACATGAACAAGTAAACAGACACATGTCCATGTAGTACACACAGATACAGAGACATATGTGTACAACATGCACATACTGTTTGGGTTTGCTTCTTGTTGGTGTGGGAAGGAAAAGATTTATTTGGCTTGTTTATCTCAGTTCCTCTTTGAAGGAAGTCAGTATAAGACCTGGAGCACATGTTCTAAAGTCCGGGATGTCCTTCTCTAAAGACACAGAGACAGAGATCGATGCAATGTGCAAGAGGTTCATTGATTCATCCAGTGTGCTTGGGCCATCCCACAATCAGAGCAAAGGCAATCCCGAAGAACAAAGCATTCACTTTTTATTCTTCTTTAGACTATAGGTTTTAGGTAGCATGAGTTGGTTATCTCCCATTGGTGGGGCCCATTGTTTTTTGCATTCAGTGTCAGCCCCTGGTGAGGAGATATCTTTGGTATGTAGAAGGGAAGGTGAGTGGTCTAGCCCCTACCTCAGCTGAGTCACTTCCTGGGACAGGGCATTTCTGGAATTCTCTGACCCTGAGCTCAACAGAAAGTCTCAGCCACCTGGTAGTTTCTCAAGCTGGGAGAAAGTTCTACTTCTCTCATCTAATCTTTACATCAGCACAGGAACACAAGCTGTGGCAGATACCAAGGAGGGAAGCTGCTTGCTGGCTTGTCTCCTGGCTCACTCCCAGGTCTATTCTCCCATAGTTCTCTTATACAGCCCAAGCATGTTAAGGGATGCCTAAGGATGGTATCACCCACAAAAGGCTGGCCCTTCCCACATAAATCACCATTGAAGATGATAGCCCCACAGATATGCCCACAGGCCAATCTAACCTAGGCAATTCTTGCATTCTAATCTTTGCATTCATTGGCAGTCCCTGGTGATGAGATATCTTTGGAATATAGAAGGGGAGGTAAGGGATCTAACCCTATTTCTTCTGTGTCATTTCCTGGGAAGGGGCCTTTCTAGAATTGTCTCAGCCTGAGCTCAATGGAAAGTATCAGCCACCCATCCCAGGTGACTCTAGCTTGGATCAAGTTGACAGCTGAGGAGAACTAGGACACATCCATCTATACTGGACCCTACACTCCATGGAGCCTCCTACTGAAACCAGCAAGGAGATGGACTCATGACCAGCATATGAGTTCAATCAGAGCTCAAGGTCGACACAAACTCCACAGACCCTCTACCTGATGAACTGGTTCTGGGATTTGTCTATACAATATGATGTTTCCTTTTTGTCTGATTCAGGAGCCAACAAACCCAGAATCTTTCATTTCAGATTAGTTTTAAAGTCCCAAAACTGTGAACAAGGAGTTGCACCAGGCAAGTTCCCATCCAGACCAGTGCCCAGTCTTCATCATGGAGAGACCACACCAGGTTAGCACCACAGCTATGGGCCCCTCCAATAGAGAGGGCCTGCACATCTCTAGAGTCAGAATATGAATGAGCTTCTTGATTTCTGGGGTCCTGGTAGAGAACAGCTCTGTCTAGCCATCTGTCTTCAAAGGTTGGACAGGCTGCAAACATCCCATCCCTGAAGAGCTGGGAGATGTCAATGAAGGGACCTGGACCTGGCAGCAGCCTGTTCCTACCATGGCCAAGCCTGGGAGAAGGGACACTCTCAAGAGCCCTACCTTAAAGCTGGGGCTCAAGACACAATGCTCCAAAGCATAAAGAGAGGTCTGGGAGGGCTACTTGTAAGGAACTCTGTGCTGAGGGTAGGTCCACAGCACCTGATACCAGAACATTATGGCCCTGAGTAGCCTGCAGCTAGATTGAATCCTTCTACTAAACTCCAGGTTTATTTAAAGCATTTTTTCTTTATTTTTATTTTATTCTTTGTCTTCTTGTGTTTCTGTGTACCGTGTGTGTGTAGTGCCCATGAAGGGCAGAAGAACACACTGGATGCTCTGGAGCTTGGTTACTAGCTACCATGTGAGTGCTAGGAACAGAACTTGAATCCTCTGTAAGAGTGTGCATGCTCTTAACTTCTGGGCCATCTCTACAGCTCTCTGGGAGTCCAGAGCTTTGAAAATAAATGCCTCTATTGAGAAGCAATTCATATGACATATACTCCAGCCATTTGAAAGTGCATAATTCTGGTTGTCTAGTATATTCAAACATGTATAGACAAGGTGGTTCATGCCTTTAAGCACAGCGTTCAGGAGGCAGAGGCAGGTGAATCTCTGTGAGTGCCAAGTCAATCTTGTTTATCTTGTGAGCTCCAGACCAGCAGGGGATACATAAAGAGATCCTGTCTCAAAGTTAAATTAAATAAACAAGTGCACAGATAAATAAACCTGTGTGATTATTGCCCACACCACAGGGGAAAAAAAAATCCAAAACCATTTGGAGTTTCTCCCTATTTATTCGTTTCTTAGTCACTGGCAACAGTTAATGGATGGCTTATTTTGGGGATTTCATACAGGATAACTTGCACAGAAATGGTGTGGGTGTTTGTTTGGTTGGTGGTTTGATTTCGTTTAGTTTTTCTCTGGCTTCTTCTGCTTGTAGCCATGTTTTCAGGGTTCATCCACATTCTGCACTGTATCTTAGAAGTGTATTCATGCCTCCCAGTTCCCGTGCAACTGTGGGTTGGTGACAGAGGTTAGTTATAGAGCACTTTCTTCTCTGGTGTGTGCAGGGCCCAGAACTGGCCAAAATACTGCACAGATTTATTATTTTGTAAAATCTATGTATGGGTTGATGGACATTCAGTTCATTTAAGGCTTATCTGCTTGACTCTTTTAAATGATACCATGGAGACCTGGAGACACGGTTCACGGGTTAAGAGCACTTGCTGCTCTTACAGAGGACCAGGACTCAGTTCCTGGTACCCACATATGGTGCACTTACATGCATGCAGATAAAACACTCACACACATAAAATAAACATTTTTTAAATCTCAAGAAAAACTTTAAATACTACCATAGACATTGGTGTACACATTTGATCTGTTTGATATCCTGTTTGCTTTTTCAGTAACACATCACCATTGATTGCCACAATCCTAGGATTACCTCTTGCTTTGGATATGCACCTAAAAGTCCAATTGCTAGGTCACCTGGTAACTCTACATTCACCCGTTTGAAAAATTGCGTTTGCATTCTAGAACACCTCTAATATTTCCATTTTCCTGTCTGCATGGACCTCAGAGTTTGTTTTTTACAGTCTTACTACAATTTACTTAGGATAACAGCCAGCCAGCCAAGTGGCCTTTCATGCTATCTAGTTTCTTTTTTCAATTTTGTTCTGTTTTTATAGTGCTAATTCTTTTTATATTTATTTTATGTATATCAGTACACTACCATTGTTCCATTCAGACACACCAGAAGAGGGCATCAGACCCCCTTATAGATGGTTGTGTGCCACCATGTGGTTGCTGTTAATTGAACTCAGGACTTCTGGAGGAGCTGTTGGTGCTTTCACTCCAGCCTGATGCTATCTAGTTTTGATTTGCATTTTCCTGATAACTAATGAAATGTTTGCTGGCAACTGGCACAGTTGTATACCTCTAGAGAAGTCCATTCTGATCTTTTATTATGGCCCAGGTTTTTAAGATAGAATTAGCGCTTTGAAGTTGTAGGAAGCCAGACCAAAAGAAACCTAAGCTCCCTGTTACCAGGATCTCAGGGGCTTCCCTAAGCCCAGTCAGGCTCTGGGAAGGAGGAGGAGGCTAGGGCAGGCCACGCCCCGCTGTTCCTGGAAAAATGGCTCCTTAAATGCCTCAGGCTGCAGCTTCAAGGTTTCACTTTTGTGTCCTGACACCACATGCAGAACTGCTCTTGCTGGTGGCTTCCATTGCTCCCGGGTTGAAGAGACAAGAGACCCCTCCCCGGCACCCCAGCACGTCTTTGCTTCCCTTGCTGAGCCCAAACACTCGGTAGAGGTGACGATCTAGGTGAGCCACCCTGCTACTCGGCCCCTCCCAGAGCCCAGCCGTCCCTACTCTGGTGTGGTCTCTACTCTATGGCCTGGGTGCCTGCTTGTTAAGTTGGGTATTCAGACTTCCAGAAGCCCCACTATACCAGACAGCTTGAAAAGACACTAGCAGCTAGGGCCTAGTGTCTATGGAGGCCACCAACTAAGGATACAGTGGGACCAGCCTGGTTTGTGATTGATGCTGACAGGGGGAGGGTACAGGAGAGGGGGATGGGGAGGAGCTCAGGGCACTCTCTAGGCTTCTGGACTGAATGCTGATTCCCTGGCCCACAAGTCCCTCCCTGATCCCCAAGGGCCTTCTTTCCTCACTCTCTACCATTAGCCCAGAGACCAGGTGTCCTAGGGGTGTAACTGGTAGTTGCTCCACACTGCACAGGTTGTCTGCCTCAGACCTGTTTTGGCCTCTGACCCAAGAAGGTTTAAGGAGGTCAGGTAAGTCACAGAGCTATACATTAGAGCCGTGGAGGAAACCACCAAACCCTGGAACCACTGAACACTGGCTTTGCTGTGGGCTCCTGTGCCAAGTCCCTTAGAAGTGGGGGCTCCTGTTCTTTCCCCGGCCTTGGTCCTCAGCCAGGGAGCCCAACGGGGTATCCTAGACTTCAGCAGGTGGCCAGGGGTGACACACAGTAATTAATGGTATGGATAGTGCAGGACCTGTTGCTACAGGCTACCTCCTCCTCCTCCTCCTCCTTCTCTTCTTCCTCCTCCTTCTCCTCTTCCTCCTTCTTCTCCTCTTCCTCCTCCTTCTCCTCTTCCTCCTCCTTCTCTTCTTCCTTCTCCTGAGTCAAGTGCCAGAGACCCCAGGGAGAGACAGATAAGTGAGCCACAGAGTGAACAGTGTCCTCTGTGTTGTGTTGGTCAGGCTGAATGTGCCAGGACTAACAAGGCAAGGCTACTCTGAAGAGGTGGGGTTCCTGAGTGCTGGAGGCAACTAAGTATGGATCTCTGTCATCCGCTCCCAGGATCATGACATCAGCCTTTGAGAGAGCGGTCAAGAGTGTGCTCAAGGAGGTGGACCATGGCAGAGGAGATCTCATCCCAGTGGACTGTGTTCGGGATTCAATCCGCTTCAAGCCTTACAGCCTCCTGAGCAGGAAACTATCAAGCTCATGGTTCTGGAAACCCCGATATACATGTGTCAACCTGTCAATCAAGGACATCCTGGAACCCAGTGCTCCAGAACCAGGTACCTCCTTTACCCCCTCCCCTCTTCCCAATCCTGAGCCCCCAGACTGAATAGAAGAAGGTAGTGTGTGAAGCCCAGCCTGCCATCTTACTGGGCATGTTCAGCACTACTACTCTGGCCCTATTTCCCAAGTGGGGAGTTCTTTAAAGGCCCCATTGCTACAGAGGAAAGACAAGGCAGTGGCTACTGGAATGGGACAGTAGAGCTGGTCTTGTTTTAGAACCGGAGTATCATCGTGGCCCTGTGAAATTCTCTGATGATGTCGATGGGAAAATTCAGGGCAGTGTGGCTGTGGCGTCACCCATGACAGAAGGGAGAATTTCTGGTGGGGCTGCAGTGTCTGATAGTGCCAGTGCCTCCGTGAGTATGTGTATACTGTTTGTGAACTCGAAGACCTGGGATATCATGAAGAGTGAAAGGTGAGCCCTGCAAGGGATGACTGCTCTCTTACCTTGAGCAGCCATGCTTCTTGGGAAGGTTGCTGGGTTCTGGGCATCAGAAGGGTTCTGAGGCAGTGTCTCTTAGCACTGAACAAGGGAAGCCCAAGAGAAAAGGAGCAGTATAAACCATGTCAGGTTAGAAGGGATGTTAAATGTTGGTTGCCAGGACTGTATCCTGAAGATCAAGAGATCAAGAAAGGACCCAAGTCCCTTGGAATCAGGCTGAGCTCCTGATTGCTATGGAAAGGGGGAGATGTGGACTTGGAACATTTATGGATCATATATAATGGGGTCCATCCACAGATACAGGCATCCACTTCTCTGTGTTTGAACTTGTCATTACCCTCACATGCACCTAGACACTGTTGGGAATGCCCAGGAAGGGTTCCCAAGCCTGGTATCCACAGACTCCTGGATTCCCTATCCTTTCTATCTCATCTGTCAGCAGGTAGGGAGGGAGGGGGGCTAGTCCATGGTGGGCAAGCCTTGGCAATCTTTCTGTAGGCGCCTGAAGCAGCCTGAGACTACAATCCTGCAACAGCTTCGGAGTCGTGGGGATGATGTGTTTGTCATCACTGAGGTCCTACAGACAAAGAAGGAGGTGAAGATCACTCAGACCCACAGCAGGGAGGGCTCAGGCAAGCTTACAGTGCCTGGAGCTTCATGCTTGCAGGTATGTGATGCTAACCCTAATATCAGCCTAGTCCTACTTGGGCACCAAGCAAAGGCAGGAAACTTAGAAGCTGGGCAACATCCCAGGAAGTGATGGAAGACTCTTCTAAGACCCCTCCAGAAGCAAAGCATAGCCCCACTTGCCCAGTTATCTGGAACTGCTAAAGGCTGGGTCGGCCATTAACAATGATAAGCCTGTAACCAACACTCCACGCTTAGCTATTCACACTATACCCCTGAGCACATATCCATCCTTCAGGGTGAAGGCAAGGGCCACCAAAGCCAGAAGAAGATGGTGACCATTCCTCCAGGCAGCATCCTTGCATTCCAAGTGGCCAAACTGCTCATTGGCTCTTCATGGGGTGAGTGGCAAAGGACTGTCTCTAGAGTCCAGACTTTGTGGCAGAGAAGCACTTCAGCTAGCCAGGAGATGCTGTGGGTATCTGGCTGCATGATTTCCCAGACAGGGTCGTAAAGTGTGTCAGGACTAAGATGTGGGTCATAGGGGCAGGGTCTCATGAGGTCCCAGGAGCCTTGGGGATAAGAGATTGATGGCCTGATTGCTTCTGCCTGTTTCCAGGTATCCTTCTCGTCCCGGATGAGAAACAGAGGACCTTTGAGCCCTACTCAGGTAAGGCCCAAGACTGTCTGGCCTTACATACCCCTTAGCTTTGAGGTGTTCTGTGCTCAGGGCATGAGGTGGGCACACACCACACATACACATATATACACAATGGGTGAGGCTTAACTCAGTTTATGTTGCTGGGCCTGCTTAACTTTCCATCTGCCCTGGGCTGCCATTAGTAGGAGAGATGGGTTTGGGAGGGTCCAGGTAAAGATCTCATCCCTCTTTGACATGAGACAATGGTCCCTGGGCCACTACACAAAACAGCTCTTCCCCTTCCACCTTCCGGATTTGTTGTCTAGTCAACAAAAGTGTAGTGGACCAGAAGCGCCATAGATTTGACCTGTTCGCTGCACTACATCGCCGCTACCCGTTTGCGAGGATCACAGGCAGGACAGGTCAGTAACCTTTTGACCTCCCTGGAACTCCACGGCTTCTGCATCTGCTCCCTGGACCTACTCCTCCTAACTAATGTTCCCCAAGACCTCATGGGCATCAGGTGGTATTGCCCTCAGTCCCTGCAGATGGAAACCCTGAGGAAGAAGAATTCAGGGAAGACTTTCAAGGCCTGTCTGCAGAGGTGAAGGCTGGCTGCTTAGAACTTGGGAAATTAAAAATGGAGTTGAAACAACAGCTACTAGTGGACATCAGGAGGATTCTACAGGACCAGACCAGCCTGGAAGCTTTAGAGGCCTCAGTGAGTGAGAGTGATGGTGGTGGACAGGGTTTCGCCAAACCTGCTAAGTCTCACTGACTCCTTCCCTCCCTCAGCTAGGGCAGGGCCTGTGCAGTGGACAGAAGGTGGAGCCTCTGGAGGGGTCAGCAGGCTGCATCCTTAAGTGTCTGGTGCTAGATTCTGGAGAGCTGGTGATGAAACTCGCAGCCCCTATCTTCTACCTGCTGGGAGCACTGAATGGTGAGCAGCTCAAGGAGGCATTAGTTGGGATCAGGAAGGGAGGACTAGGTTCTATATGGGGCATTCTGGAACCCTCTCTAAGCCCTGATCTCTCCCCAGTGCTGAGTGAAACTCAGAGGCAGCTGCTGGCTAAGGCTCTGGAGACAACAGCACTGTCAAAACAGCGGGAGTTGGTGAGAGGACCTGGCCTTGGGGGTCAAATGGGGCCCTGGGGACATCGAGGTTGACACAGAAAAGTGCTGCTTCCCTCAGGCTCAAACTACAGGCAGCATCTATAACCTCTTACCCTCCTCTGTTGGTAGGTGGAGCATGTGTTGGAACAGAGCACCCCATGGAAGGAGCAGAGATCTGTGTCCCTGCCCTCTGGGCTCCTTGAGGACAGCTGGGTTGAGGAGGCTCCCACCTGGATCTTGTTAGAAGAATGTGGCCTAAGGCTGCAGGTGGAACCCCCCCAGGTGCACTGGGAACCGACTTCTCAGGGCCCCACGTGTGCTCTCTATGCCTCCCTGGCCCTATTGTCTAGTCTAGGCCAAAAACCTCATTAGCCTGCAGGCCTCCCTTCCAGCAACATCTCCATGTCCTACCCTCCAGCCAGGACAGAATCTTGCCAAGCCCAGCCTCTAGGAAGGCCAAGTACCCAACTCAGTCACAGGGTTAAAATGCAATGAGACCCAGGTGTTGGAAAAATTCAATAAATGTACAAACAAAAGCATAGTGCTGCATTTCTGAGAGATATTGGATCATCAGTAGGATGGGGATGGGGGGTTGCCCACACAGAATCAAGATGTATTTGATGGCTACCACCTTACTCCTGTGACCTACAGACAGGCAGATTCTGGGAATCAACAAGTCTCATGGCACAGGGGAGTTCCTGGGCTCTGTGTCTAGGGAGAAGATGTTTCTAACTGATGTGGCCAAGGGGTTATGATCACCCCTGGGAGCTTGCACACCTAGGACAAGTGTTTGGAACTTGGTGGGGACCACACCACCTCCATAGTGCAGCACAGTTTTAGCTTGCTGAGAGGTGATATTAGCAACAGGTTCTTCCTGATAGGTGCTTTCTTTCTCAGTGAATCAAACACAGGCCAGATTAGACCAGATTAAAAGTAGATAGGGCAGGTTTTTTAGGAGGTGGCTCTCAGGTGGGTTCACGGATGTCACACGTGGAGGTCAGGGAAATTGCACATCCAGGCTAAAGCAAGAAGGTTTTGTGGTTCTAGGAAGTGGAGTGATGACACGTGTTCTAGGAGCTGAGACTGTGTCCATCCATGGTCAAAAACTGAGCCCTGCCCAGAAACTCTGAGATGAGAAATGATGACAAGTTACCCCAGAGTTTTCTCTGAGCAGGCAGATTTGGGGGAAGGAGAAGCAGATGGGGTTTCCCAGCTTGTTCCGGAGATGAGCAAGGGTTCCATCCTAACATGCCAACCTCTTTAGGTCCAGGGGCTCCCATTCAGATCTGGCTACTTCCTGCTGAAGAGGAATGGCATGGCATGAGGTGGGAGGGTGAGGAGTTTCTTGGTTCGAGCTGGGAAGGTATGGGTGCAGAAGGAATTGGTTGACCTTCATCCCAGAGACTTCAAAAATCCCATTTATGGAAGAAGAGGAGAAGGCACGGGGCTAGAAGAAAAATAGATTAGTATCTTCTGTCCTATGAATGGGCTAGCCTTGTGTGAAGAGCAAAGGCTGCCACAAAGTGTGGAATGCCGATGTTCCGGGTTGTATGGGCAGAGTTCTTTTTCCTTTTTTAAAAAAATTTATTTATTTTATGTGTATGAGTAGACTGTCACTGTCTTCAGACACACCAGAAAAAGGCATCAGATCTCATCACAGATGGTTGTAAGCCACCATGTGGTTGCCAGGAATTGAACTCAGGACATCTGGAGGAGCAGAAAGTGCTCTTAACCACTAAGCCATCTCTCCAGCCCATGGGTGGGTTCTTTAGACAGTTTGTGGAGTGACTCAGTCTGGGTCTGCATCAGGCTTGTTGTTTCTCCAGAGAACATGCAGGTCTCACACTTATCAGTCACGAGGAGGTTATGATCCTCTACTTCTGTAGGGCCACTGAAGCTTGTGAGTTTACACAAAGAGGTAAGATTTAGAAAGGTTAGCATTATCATTTATACTGGCTGGTTTTAAGTGTCAACCTGACAAAAGCTGGAGTTATCACAGAGAAAGGAGCCTCCCTTGAGGAAATGCCTCCATGGGATCCAGCTGTGAGGCATTTTCTCAATTAGTGATCAAGGAGGGAGAGCCTATTCTATTGTGGGTGGTGTCATTCCTGGGCTGGCAAGAAAGCAAGCTGAGCAAACCAGTAAGTAGCACCCCTCCATGGCCTTAGCTTCAGTTCCTACCTCCAAGTTCCTGTCCTGTGTGAGTTCCTATTCTGATTTCCTTTGGTGACCAACAGCAATGTGGAAGTGTGAGCTGGATAAACCCTTTCCTCCCCTACTTGCTTCTTGGTCAGGATGGTTTGTACAGGAATAGAAACCCTGACTAAGAAAACATTGTGTGTAATCTATACTGAAACTCACATTGTAGGAAAGACAGTAGACTCATACCTTTGTGTCATAGTAAAGGCTCGGCAAATGATTTGGGGTGAAAAGCATGAAGAATCTTTAAGGTGAGCTCAGGGAAGACAAAGACAGAAGGGGCAAGCGCTCCCTTGATCCTGATTTGCAGTATGATTAGAGATTGTGAAAGAGGGACTTCTTTCCTCTATCCAGAAGCCTGGATGCATGTAGATTAGACGTACTTTTTAATGAGAAACACTTTTAAGTCTATATTTAGAAACCAGAGGAAATTTAAACTCTTGAGCTTGTGTCTATTATAATAGTGGATCACACAGTGGAAGGCTTTATCAGAGTTAGAGTAACAGTGGATCAGAACTCTATTGGTTAATAGTAAATTTTGAACTTTTGAAGCTTAATACAGCAGTAATATAGAGAGGGATCAGAATCAGAAGCACTTTCCATTTCTCCCATCCACCTTAAATCATTTTTTGTATTGCCTAAGTTTTTTACACTCTCCAATCTTCATACCTTACATTTACCAATCCCAAAACACCTTCCTAGACCCTGGAACATTTTCTTAGATCCTTAAACACTTCCTTAGAAGCTTTTGTATCCTCAGGCCTTACGTAAGCTTAAAACTTTATATTTTGCCTATCCAATTATTTTACATGAGAAGTAGGTGGTTGATCATTGAGAGCAGTCATTGTAAAGTGAGTTTCTTTAGATAAAGGAATAGTAAAAAGTTATATAGAGCAAAGTGGTGGTGGCACATGCCTTTAATCCCAGCACTTGGGAGGCAGAGGCAGGCGTATTTCTGAGTTCGAGGCCAGCCTGGTCTACAGAGTGAGTTCCAGGACAGCCATGGCTATACAGAGAAACCCTGTCTTGAAAAACCAAAAAAAAAAAAAAAAAGTTATATAGAAATCTTTCTTAAATCTGGTAATAAGGTAAAATGAGTATAGACCCAACAGTGGCAGCTTTAGGAGAGTGAGTGTTTAGGCCTGATTTTTACACAATAAGAGGACTGAGAAGGCAGCTGAGCCCTTGGTTTTTGTTAGTAAACTGATCCTCAAACCCATGAGACCTAAGAGGACAAATCTTATGTGAGTAAGCAGGAAGTGAGGTAAAGAATGAGCAGCATCGGACTCTATTAAAAATGACACAGACTTACCAGCTACATGGACAGGATTCCTCTGTGGTCACTGGGGCATCCATTTTTGCCCTTCACACCCAGAAAATCTTACAGACTTTCCAATAGAGCAGGAACTTAGGGGAACTGACCTACCTTGTCTAGGGAAAGTGAGTCAACTTCCCAGTGTCTTGCCCATCCACAGTGCGGACAGTGTGTTATCAGCAGTAGAGAACAGGGCAGTTTAAGCATAGTGGCCTGCTTTGTCATATTTGAAGCAAACTCCAGGTGAAGGTTCTCCTATGCCCATCTCTTTTGGAGGAGATCAAGGGTGCTGTCAGGAACAGGTGTGTATCTTATGAAGTGCCTTTTTTATTAGACATTTTACATCCCATACTCTTAAGATCTCTGAAGTGTCTGAGGACCTCCTGTCTGTCTAAAGTATATCCAAATAGACAAACACTGTTTTTAGTTATTTACTTTTTGTTGAACTTTGAAATCATATATAGGAGGGTATTTGAAGGTTTTTTTGGTAATTAACATGTTTTGGTAATTAACCATGATTATAAGTATAGTTATCAACATATGAAAGAATGTGATTATTTATGGAGTATTAACAAGTAACTTGTGAGCTTTCATTATTTTTAATAGTTTATAAAATTAGTTTTAAGCTGGAGGCAGTGTCAGGATAGGAAAGGGTTAATAAGTTGGGAAAAATGGTAAGAGTCTTAGTTAAGGGAACTGTAATCACAAGATCATCAATTATTTTGTAATTTATTTGCTTATCAGCAGTGTAGAATTTAGCTTTAGAAAGGGAGTGAGAGAGTTGGAGTAGTGCACCTGGAACAAGATTTGGGACCCATGTCAGCATTGGAAGCTGGGAAGGTTTGTGGAAGGAACAAGACAGCCCTTTATGGGCCTAAGGGAGAATGTTAGCCCAAACTTTTTGCCAAGTAAGAGGAGGACTTCTTTCTGTGCAGTTCAGATTTGAAAGACAGCAGAAGGGGTTACCTAGCTTCTGTGGGATGAGCTGGGGTTCCAGCCTAACACTTCCAAGCAAACCACAGAGAATGCAGCTTTCAGGACTTACCAGCCAGCAGGTAAGTGGCTAGAGCATTAAAATACTGTCGCAGGCACTGTTCTATTGCTGTGAGATGACTCCATGACTAAGGCAACTCTTGTAAAGGAAACATTTAATTGAATCTGGCTTACACTTTCACAAGTTTTGTCTATTATCATCATGGTAGTGTAAGGGTTCATCTGTGATTTGCCAAAGGACGATACCCCAGACTCAAATAGTATGTAAAGAGTATTTTATTCTGCAGAAGTCCAGCATGCCAGGGTCTCCCATTACCAAGATACAAAGACAATCAAGTGAGCTCACAGGTTTTAATGCACATTAGAATTCTGGGACAGATGATCTTTATCTTATTCTAACTCTAGGCATCCATTATTGGCGTGTGAAGGCTGGAGCCTGGTTTTCTTTATCTCCTTGATTTTTTATTAATAATTGACTTGCTTGGGCTTGCCTGGACTGCTCCAGTAATTAGGCCTGTCTTTTTAACTACCAATTTGATGTCTGTCATGGAATCAGCCTAGCTTTCTCATTAGAAAGCATGGTGGCATGCAGGTAGACACGGTGCTGGAGAAGCTGAGAGTTCTACATCATGATCTACAAGCAGTAGAAGGAGACTGTGTGCCACACTGGGCATAGCTTGAGCATAGGAGAGCTTTCAGGTGAGCCGGCCCACAAAGTGACACACTTCCTCCAATAAGGCCACACACCCTATTAGTGCAGCTTCCTACAGCCAAGTATCCAATCACATGAGACTGCGGGGGTCATTCCTTAACCATCATATTTACAATTATCCTCATGACAGGGAGCATGGTCAGCAGACCTAGT